GGGCGGGGAGGTCCGGGTGGGGATGGCGGCGCCAGGCGGGCTGCCGAGGTGGCAGGGCGGGGGAGGGGGAAGTAGGTGCTGGTGCCCGGGTGGGGTCTACGGAGGCCGGGGCGGCGAGTGACCGCTGGGAGGACGGATCGGAGTCTTCGGGGCCACCTGAGTGGGTCAGGGGAGAGGCTTGCTCGGTGGGCCAAGCGCCAGGCCACCGCGCCCAGGGCACAGAGTGGGGACGTCCGGGGAGCCCAGCCCCGGGGGTGTGGGAGTGGAGCCGTGGGGACCAGCCACCCATCCCACCCCTTCTAGTCCAGTCACCAAGCCCGCCATAGGGCTGGGCGTCTGACTCTTTCATGGAGTTTGGTGACCCAAAGGACTGTTTAAAAACCAGTCTTATGAGGCGTATTTGGGGAGAATTAGCAAAGCTTTTTGCTCTGCTTGAAGTCGGCTCCTGGAGCACGAATTTATTGGGCATAGGAATTACTGGGCGGGAGTCAGTTATCAACAGCTCTTTACTTTTCCTCCCCCAAAGCCTTTTCCAATTGATTTCTCTTCGGGGATCATGCAGTCTGCTAACAGCCCCCATTTGGGGGCTGAATGAAGGATGCAGATCAATGTTTTGTCAGCCCTACTACTTTTGTAGAATGAAATATAATAATCTCAGCCACTGTGCTTAGATACTTGGGCATGTTCTTAAAAATCTTACCCAATTTATAAGAAGGAAATAGGACAATTCCCACTCCCACCCCCAACTGATTTGTTCAGTGTCATTCACACAGTCATGATTTGAATCCAGGTCTTCCTTTTGAGTTGGTGCTGCTTAATCATTGGAATGGGAAGGAAACTGGGGTCCAGGAAAGTTAAGCAACTTGCCTGCTCTCAGTAAAGCTGGTTGGTGCTGAGGCAGAGTCAGAAAGCCATTACACTTGTACCTTTCCCTGTACCTGCTCTCTGGTGTCTGTCTGGCACTGGGCTGTGCAGTAGGGATGCTGCTGGTGGCCTTCCAGTTATGTGGTTTTGTGTTGTTGTTTTTTTTTTTTAAAAAAAAAAGCTGTGTTGCAATCCTGAAGACATATGGTTGGAGTCCACCAGTTGCCCTGCAGGAGAAACATGGATCCATGCGATTCACAGCCTCTGAAAACCTTCAGCTATGAGTTGGTCCCACAGCACACAACAGTCATCAAGTCATAGTTTATTTAAATGACACCTCTCAAAATGGCTTCCCTATGATGCCTCTTATGGAGCTTAAAGACAGCAAATAATTGCAATAAGAGGCATTATGAATGGAAAACAACAAAGGCGGGGGTGGGAGAGAAAGGACAAGTCAATTGTCATTGATTTGGTCGGACTCAGGGCAAGCCCATGTATGTCAGAGTGGACCTGTACTCCCTAGATGGCTCATATGGTTACTGTGATACTCTGCTCTTAGCAAGTTGGAGATTCAAGCTCACCCAGAAGTACCTAGGAAGAAAGGAGCTGGCAATCTGCTTTCAAAAACTCAGCCATTGAAAAGCTAATTGTATGTGTGTGTGTATGTGTGTGTGTGTATGTGTGTGTGTGTGTTGGGTTGAGAGTCTATCATGTGCCAGACCAATGTCTATTAACTCCTAGAAGTCTGCCTTTCCTAGGGGACAGGAAGTGACCATTGCTTATATTGCTCTTTGTAGCTTACCTTATAAAGTGCTTTTAAAAATCTCTGGTGAATTAATGAAACCATGGGTGCCTGCCTTCAAAGAATCTGCATCACAGAGAAATGTGCAGAGAGATTTTACAGGCTAAGTATGTCACTTAAGATTATAGACCTTTTCTCTATTTTCAAGGAGGAAGGTCTGTCCCTTAAGGGTTGTAACTTTCTAATAAATTCATTATTACTATTTACCCTTTAAAAAAAAGGAATATAAAGGGAATTTGAAAAGCAAACCATGAAGGGGAAAGAAGTGCAGGCAGAATGTTCCTTCACCGGACATGTTCTCAGGAGGGACCAGTCTCTGGAGGATGTTGAACATGCTTGATAAATTAGAGGGTCACAGAACAGCAAACAACAAGTACTGGCGATGTTGTAAAGAAACTGGAACCCTTCCTTATTCACTCACTGTTGGTGGGAGTGTACCATGGTGCAACCATTGTGGAAGGCAGTGTGGTGCTTTCTCAAAAAGTTGCCAATAGAGATATTTGACCCAGCGATTCCACTACTGGGAATATACCCTAAAGAGACTATACCTGCCACCCAAGCAGATATATGCATACCCATGTTTATCGCAGCTTTGTTCACAATAGCAAGGAGTTGGAAACAATCTAAGTGCCTATCAACAAACTAATGAATAGAGAAGCTATGGTATATTCACACAATGGAATACTATGCTGTAGTGAAATACAAGGAATTCATGCAATATTATTCAAAATGGGTGATCCTGGAGGATATTATGCTGAAATATCTCAGTCACAAAGGGACAAAAACTGCATAGTGCCACTGTTGTAAAACAGGGCTGACATCGGGGTTGGGGGGAGACTGAGAAAGATGGGTTCATTGAAACAGATGAGGGAGAAAATTGTTTAAAAGGGATATGTGATTAGGTATTTTTGTCATGACAGGAGTCCAGAATGGAGGCTGCATAGTGGAGTGGACTTGGGGGAAGGAATATATAGCAATGAAAGAATTTTACTTTTCAAAGAGAAGAGTGAATTGGGGGGAGGGAGGGATGGGCAGGGAGAAAAGTGTAACAATAAATGAATGGAAATCCTCAGTCTCTGTAAACTTTCATTAAAATTAATAATAATTAAAAAATTAGAGGGTCAGCAAAAAAAAAAGACTCTGAATGAGATGATGGACACTGGGGCTGTGGCAGCGGCCTCCAGCATGGCAGCCGTTGAGAAGATGACGCAGGACCAGAAACCATATCTTTCTGTTACACCTAAGGTCCCTGTGAGTTAGAATTTGTTCCTTGGCACCTGATAAACAATACATGGGGAAAGCTGACACAGAAGAGAACAGGGAGGATATTTCTGCTGCAGAAATGAGATGAGTTCAGAAAGAGTGTATCCTGAAGATGGAAGAAAGAGAGGGGCTGGATGGGGGCAGGTCCAGATTGTGGGGGGCCTGAGAAGCCAATCAGGCAAGGAAAGGAGTCATTCGTAGGGAGGGGAAACCAGAGAAAATTACAGGCTATAATCATCTGCTCCAGCAGAGAGACGGGAGGAGCATCACCACTTCTGCTGGTTAATTGGAACTCCACTGGGTTAAAGGTCCAAACTCACGAAGTCCAGAAGCAACACAAACCTAGTGTATAGCAAATAGGCATTATTTAAAATGCACACTTTGGTGAGAGCTGGCTGAGGTTGAAATGGCATCAGCCCCAAACAAAGAGTAGGGTATTTATCCACATTGGCCGATTGGGGATAGTCACAGCAGTTTCAAGGGCCTGGGGCCATTTCCCATTATTTCTGCACTCTCTGTTTTATCTCCTGAGATGTGCCATAAAACCCTGTTAAGAGGAGAACATTAATTAGATTATTTACTCTTTCCTGGAACACAGGGATGTATACAGGTAGGGTCAGAAAGTCCACAACATGGAATCCTTTGGTTTTAACATTGTAGTGGGAGTCTCATAGTTAGCTCAGGGGAGATTGTAGAGGGAAAGTGAAGACCAAACCTCAGAAGCTGAGAGAAGAGCATTCTTTTTAAAATGTTGTTGTTGTTATGTGCTGTTGGGTCACCTGAGCCTCATAACAACCCTATGTATGGCAGCTCAGAAACCTTCCCTGTTCTGAGCCTAACTCCGACAAACAACTTCCATTACCCTACTTTCTGTATCAATCTATCTCATCTGGAGTCTTCCTCCCTCCTACACTGTCCCTCCTGAATGATGTCCTTCTCCAAGGACATGTGCCTACTGGCCGTATGCCCAAAGTCTGAGATCGAGCATCAGAATCCTAGCTCCCAAGAAGAACCTTAGTTTCACCCTCTCAAAGAGAGACCTATTGGTTTTCTTGGCAGTCCGTGGTAATGCTAAGGTAAAACTATGCCCCCTTTTGTGTGAAGTCTAGTTAAAGAGACCACCCTCCTCCAGGCAGTGCAAAGGGCAGAGACAGGGCTTGCTAACTTGTGAAGGCTTTCCAGGGGCCTCAGCAGGGCTGTGTGACCTCATGAAGTGGCTTCAGCCTCCTCTCTGCCTTCTGTAAAGCTTGTCTCTAGAAACCTGTCTTCTTATTAGGTGAATACACTCAGAGAAAAGAAAGGCCCTCAGAGTGTTATATAAAATATTTACATACTTAAAAGCCAGTTAGCTTTAGAATAGGAACTTTATCAACTTTCTGTTTCTATTGCAAAATGAAGGATTAAGGGGCAGGAGGTTGGGGGGAGGCAGGAAATGGTGCTATTTTCAGGGTCTACTCGTCAACCTTTTCTTCCAAGAGGTTGTGTTACGATTAAAGCACAAGCTCTGGGATAGAGTGACTTGAGTTCAAATCCAGCTCCACAGCTGCACAGGCATTGCAACTTCTCTGAACCTCACTGTCTTCATCTATAAAATGGGGTTAATGAGAATTCA